GCTGTTGGTGGTAATCCAGGTCACGCTGTGCATTACTTGAGGCGTGCCATTCCATATCTGATTAAAAACCTCTCCATTAGATATTTATTCACTGCATTAGCGGTGGCTGTTCTGGTGGTATGCATGCACTTTCAAATCACGCTTCTGGGGGCGCTGCATTCTAATTGGCCAGCTGAACATTTCCCCCGATCAATCAGAGAGCTCGCTCGCGTTCTCTGCCTCAGAACATCCTGACAACACGTCTTAACTGGCAGACCATTTTGAGATTGTTTAATATGTAATTGCCTGCGGTGCTGTAAATTGCTTCCTCATGGTTCCTTCAAAACCGCAATACTTCAAGATATTTAATGTTCTACCAAGAGCTGTTTTATTAAAGCTGCCGTCTTCTGATCACAGCAGAATGTTGCTGTTGTTGTTCTAAACGCTTTCATTTCATAAAAGTAATTTGCACTATGTAAAAAAAAGTGCGATCAAACATATTTTAGTAGCTACTCCCCTCGGACTCAGACTAACGTTACAGCTGCTGAAAGTCTCCGGGTCACTTTTTTTTTCCTGGGTTTTTATGTACAGTGAAAAGCTTTCAGGAATCTGTCTCATTAGTTTAGGATAAGGATGGATAACTCTCAGCGCAAATGGCCTTCTGTTTCCTCCCCTACACCGCTTTGGAGTGCCGAGGTTGATCGTTTCATATTCTTACTGTGTGATCTGGTTGTTTTGGTGTCTGTTTGAGGCGTGTAGTAAATCATGCTGAATGGATGATCTTATTTAACATCAATAAAACATAAATAATTAATCACTCTCCATTCATCTGATAATTAGGCCAGGCTTAAGCTTCTTTGCCAAATGGTAATATCACATAGACACCAGCCAATAATGTTGTGACTGTGATTCTTACGTTATCTGTTGTGCTTAAAGATTAAGATAGGATAAGATTTAAGATAGAAATTAATCTAGAATTAAACAAAATGTTACACACATTGCTATTTTTATAGAAAAAGAAATAGCCATAGCTCATTTTCTTTTAAAAATGTTTGGCAACAAAAGGTTTATCAAGAAATCAAGTAACTAGTTTGTTTATAATAATAATTATACATAAATAATGATCATTAAAAAAAGGTGCAATTACTGATGTTTGGAAATATGTCTTGCATAACTGCTAAAAAAGAGACCTAAAGTGCTCCCTACTGGATTAAATTATAACTGCTTGTTCATATATTACAAAACGCATACCGTAGGCGTAGGAGATAGATAGATAGATTCTGTTTAATGTGTAATAAAAAGAAATTGTACAATTAAACATTCATTTTATATTATAAATATAGTAAATCAATGTGTTGTGTGTGAAGATTAAATTTTACATTTGACATGCGCTTTTATCTGTACAACTTTCATTTAAAGTGACTCTTTTTTTCTTGCATTCCTTTGGAATAGAACCTATGACTGGTGTTGCTAGCACCATGCTCTATGATTTGAGCTACAGGAATGTATTAGTGAAGATATTAGTGAATAACTGTTCCTCAAAGAAACTTATCATATGAAAAAAAAAAAAAAAGCGACTTCATTTGGACTGCTTTTTTCTAGTCTATCTTCCAAAACCACAGTTGTCCTCACTGATTTACAGATCATTAGCTCATGTATATTGCGCATTCAGGTTTTGTTTTGTTTTTTAACAGAATAAAATCTGGCCCAAACTAATAATTCAATCAATTAAGTTGACGGCTGGTCCGTGCATGTAGAGCTCTTTCCATGAATTAGAGGGGGCAGCGTATCTGTCTTATCAGCCTATCATTACAGTCAGTGCTGGAGAATCTCTGTTGTTGTTCTTAATTTATGGGCTGTGTGCTTTTGTGAGATTGCTTATAAAGGGGAAGACAATTAATGGCGAGCGTTCAAAATCTTTTCTTTTGGCTGTGTCCTTTTCTTCGTATATCATCCCTGTGACAGATTCACAACACAACATGCAGATCAGTTTATTTATTCCACAATGTAATCAGAGCACATACAAGGCAACAATTACTATTTACTTCATTTATCCATTGTAATATCCTATCCTATGCCATATTTGTTCTTGTAACATCACTGATAGTTTCAAGTGACAGTACTTACAGCTGACAGACAGTATTACATGACTAAATATTGTGTTCTGTCAAATAGCAGCATGCTGTTATGCGTAAAATACAAGTAGACAGGGAGTAGAACACTTAAGAAAACACGAGTTGTGAAGGAGCTGTTCTCCACTGAGGGTATTTTTACAGTGGCAGCCCACTGAAGTGTAGCAGCAGTAGCTCTGGCAGAAGGCTCACTGACAGCAGCACATTTAAAGCACAGGTGTGTTTCAGAGTCTGTGTCAATCTGCCGAACACAGTGACCCCTGTGGTCAGACCCCAAAATGAAAGTTATGTCTTATGTTGTTCCAAACCTGTGGTTTTTCTCACACAAAAGAACAGCTTTGGGAAAATGCTCTTTTCTCAAATGAAGCAAGCAAACAATGATAGGGACTGTCAATCAGTGTTCTTTTAGTATCATTGATAAACTATTATAGTTTTTTTTTTTTTTTTTTTGGAAAGTTTTAGTAATCTTGTTGTGTTTTTGTCATTTTTATTAGTCTTTTTAATATGTCTTTTTATTCCTTTTACTTAATTTACTTTGTCATTTTTGTTTTTCAAGTTAAACAAAAAGTGAAAAATGTAGCTGAAATGAAATAGGTTTAAGGTTTTATTTATTTATTGTAAATGTAATTTTATTTCAGTTAACATTTATTTTATTTCATGAAAGTGTTTTCCTATTGTTTTAATTTTTTCCGTTTAGTTTTGTTCATGCCAATTTTAACTCCACTGCAATTCTTTAAAACGGCAATTCAAACATTAATTCTCATTTGCATATAGTCAAATATGTGCATGAAGACGCATCTCGCCAAGTTTACGGTCAGTGATTCTGAACGCTATTGGTTCTCACATGTCTCATTGACACATGCCAAAATTGAATATGCAAATACAGTTGTAAGAATTGCTTTTATGATGTTTTTGATTCCTTTTTGGCTCTTCAGAGAAAAGTCATAGGGGTTTGGAACAACATGAGGGTGAGTAAATGACACAGTTTTCATGTTTGGTGAACTATTTCTTTAACAGAGCCTCAGGTTTACTGCCAGTAGATTGTCAGATGGTCCCTGCGGAAAAAGTGAAATAATTTGTTTTCATTGACTCTCAGAAAATAGGAAAACATTAGATTGAACAAAAGCCGGTTTTAGAATGAAATTCAAATAAATTTGAACAGAAATGATGAGAAATCTATATGGATTAAACATTGCAATCGAGTGAAATTCATGACAACATTGTCAGAATTTTAGCAATTTCATTCATCAAAATGGAATGCAAACCACTGACTCATAAACCATTTTCATCTATTAAAATGTTTAAGTGTAAAGTTGTTGCAGTTTTCAGTGTAGACAGACTTTAGCTGATGCGGCGCGGCGCGACACGACAACTGTGCCTCCGGTGTAACGGTTGCCTGTTACATCCTACAGTACATAAAGGGGGCACGATGCCGGCTCAACATCGTGATGATCAGCCATCGCCGATGGACGATGGTATCGTCTATCGGCCCACCCCTAGTAAGAGGTCAGTAAAAGTAATACTATTATTCTGCTAGGACACAACAGATTGACCAAAAGTGACTGTAAAAACATTTATAATGATAGAAAAAGATATCTGTTTTAAATAAATGATCTTCTTTTGAATCTTGAAAAAATTAAGTTTACCGTTTTCCACAAAAAATAGCAGCACAACTGTTTTCAACATTGCTAAATGCTAATAATAAGAAATGTTTCTTGAGCAGCAAATCAGCATATTAGAATGATTTCTGTAGGATCATGTGACAGCAGACTCGAGTAATGATGATGAAAATTCAGCTTTGCATCACACAAATAAAAATGCATTTAAAAGAATATTTAAATAGAAAAGTTTTTTTTTCAGGTTACTAACTTACTATTTTAATTAAATAAATGCAGCCTTGGTCTGCATTAGAGACTTATTTCAAAAACTTAAAAAAATCTTACCAACCTCAAACTTTTGAACGCTGTTGTTGAGCCATGTTTCCGTGAACACAAAAACACAACAGTCTCTTACAGTCGTTTCCTGACTTTCATATCTTGTCAATCTGAGCACACAAATCTAAAATGTAATTTCTTTCATATCTCAATTGTTTCTCCTAGACTGCAGAATTCAAATTAAAAGCAGAGAAAACGGAGACTGTTAGGTCTCCTACAGCTTCTCAGATAATTCTTTTGAGAAAAAAGACACACATCTGCTTTTGAGCTCAGATGAGATCTCAACAATGATGCCAAACTGTGCTCAGATTGACAAGATATGAAAGTCAGGAAACAAAGTTAGAGATATCAATATGAACTTAAACATTTCTCACAGAATACTTCCAACTCTATATTTTGGAAACCTGTTTTCACCAGGGGGGAAAAAATGAAAAAGGTCATTGCAACTTTTTTCTTGAAATTCTGAGTTTATATCTCGCAATTCTCACTATTCTGGAAAAAAAAAAAAAAAAAACAGTATTGAGAGATATAAACTCAGAATTGCAATATTTTTTATACTTCCATGGCGGGGGGAAAAAAAAGAATTGTCAGATGTAACCTCAGAATTTCAAGAGAAGTCCCAATTGTGGGATAAAAAAAAATCTCAATTGATCTGGACCGCTATCCACATTCATTTACTATAGTCTTACTGTATGGCAACCATTTCTTTGTCTCCTAAGGAACTTTAAGAGAAACATTCAGACAAAGATAATGGTAAGAAAATGAAGCATAATTGGAAACTCAAAGGACTCTTTTGAGCAACATCGGAGCAATTAAAACTTTCTTCTGGGAGACTATAATGTATGTTATTCAAGAACCAAAAAAATCCAATGCCTCAATTATATGAATTTCTCTAAATGCATTACTTTGAGCACTATTTCATTTCTGCTATGAAAATCATAATTGTTTTGTGCTTCTTAAAGATCTCAGAGTGCTGCAGGTGAAGAGACATCTGGTTATTCTATATTTCATAATCCTCTTCCTGTCTCCACACACCCTCCCACGCCGCTGCACAGATGTGACCCAACTCTTCATCTGTTCTTCAAGGTCAGCCTATCTTTTCAACCCTCCAGCTCCCCGTCCGCCTCTTTCCTGCTATTTATGGACTCACCAAGGATGCTGCAAGGCCTGGTCACAATTGAACCTCTTTGCTGGATCCTTCTGCAGTAAGTGAACTATAAAGTCTTTCGCTGAAGCATTAGTGGGCAGAAAGAGGCAGAGAATACAAGAAGATCAATACCACTTAATGTAGCCAGCATTTGACGTGTTTAGGTTGCATTATAAAACATTCTGCATTAATTCAAAGGGAGAAGTTTTTAAAACCACTCATGAAAGCATTAATGCTTTAATTCTATATATAATTTCCTAAGCAATTGCAGAAAGCAAAAACATTATTTTTGCTATTTTTGAAATGGATCACAGTGCATCAGTATAAATATATAAAAAATAAGTATAGTCAGTTGTTTTAGACCCCATTGGACTTTCATTGCATAGACAAAAACAGTTGAAACATTCTTCAGAATATCTCCTTTTGTTCCATGGAATGAAACAAAGTCAAAAAGGTTTGAAACAACATGAGGGTGAATAAATGATGACAGATTATTTTATTTTTGGGTGAACTGTCCCTTTGAGTGTGCATTATGTAACTGCATATTATATGCATGATGCATTATATAAAAATAAAAATAGCACAAGCACAGTTTTCAAGCACAAAAAAGTAGGTTTGAAATCATAAAGCAAACAGGGCCCCAAAAAGTATTTAGACACATTGTACATGCATTTTTTTTTTTGCAAATTAAAAAAAAAAAGACGCAAAGTGATATGGAAACTTGATTTTGTACATTTGTGTGACTTTTAAGTGTTCAAATATTTTGGGGCCACATTTTGTACATTCATAACCCATTTTCCTCAGTCCAAAATTTCACTACATTTTTGTATATGAAAAAATAAATGTCATTCGTTTTTTGTTTTTAGACATTTCATAACAGTAGCATTAAATAATGAAAAATGTAAATAGAAATCTCAGATACAAATATGTTATTATGCATTATTAAAAAACAACAAATGGAGGCTTGGAGCATTATATGAGCATTTGGACTGATGATGCTATGAATGTGATTTGGTTATTCATACTATACAGTAAGAGAGATTATATATTTTTGTGATTATACCGGAGTCAGAGATGTCGTCCCAGTATGGCGAATCAAATTCATATTCGGCCTTTATGATCAGCTTGTAGAGTTGTGTATCGTTGTCATCATAGAACGGAGGGTAGCCACAGAGTCTGCCAGAAAATTAAGAAAATACAGACTTTCAGTTTGGTACAGTGCTGTTTATAAAACGGAGTTTATTCATGTAGGGTGAATAATATTAATCCAGCACTCACAGAATGAATGCAATCACCCCAATGGCCCAGAGATCCACCTCTTTACCGTATGTTTTCTGCTGTAGAAGTTCAGGAGCTACAAACACATAGTGAAAACCAGTACTCACGAGTTACGGTCAATGGAAAAGACTACGCTCTTAAAACTAAAGGTTCTTCAGTGGTTCTTTGTGGCACTTTAGATTCAGAAAAACACCATTTATTGGTTATAGAGCTCTTAAAGGGATAGTTCACCCAAAATGAAACCATTTACTCACCCTCAAGTTGTTCCAAACCTATATGAGTTTCTTTCTTCTGTTGAACATGAAATAAGATATTTAGCAGAATGTGGGCATCCAAACAGTTGATGATCTCCATTGGCTTCCATAGTCGTTTTTGATTACCCACATCCCTCAAAATATCTTCTTTGATGTTCAGGTTTGAAACGACTTGACAGTGAGTATTAGTAAATGATAAGATAATTTTCATTTTTGGGTGAACTGTCCCTTTAAGTTGCTATGTTTTTTTTTTTTTAGTTTTAGTTTTTTTTTTAGTTTTGGTATCACATTATAGGTTCAAACCTGCACATTTGGTTTCTGGGTTTTTTAAGCACTAGTACATATAATTTTTTGAGCTGTTGCTGCACATGATATTAGGTCAAAATCATGATTATAATCTTTCTCTTACCAACATAGGCAGGTGTCCCACAGGCCGTGGAAAGAGCACCCTGCTCTTCCATTTTAGACAGACCGAAGTCACTGATGACAATTTTGGAGTCTTCTAATGGAGTCTCATACAATAAATTCTCTGGCTAATAGAGAGAGAACTTATAATTGTAATATCCACTTAGCTGCATGCAAAGCACCCACAGTGAAAAGCTGGAATGAAAACTTTTTAATCAAACATACCCAAGCGCTCTCAAAACATCACCTGAAAACCCCTCAACATGAGTGCTCTGAAACTAAAAATGTTAAAAACAGAGACTAAAGTGTTAGATTTTGTTGTCAGGTACCTTTAGATCTCGATGCACAACGCCCAGCTGGTGCAGATACTTCACTGCCTGCAGCACCTGATATATCACACGACTGGCATCTTTCTCTGTGTAACTGCCTCTCTCCAGAATCCTGTCCAGCAGTTCCCCTCCTGTCAACCTGAACAACACACTGTCATCAGCACTGACCTCATTACATCTATCTATCTATCTGTCTATCTCTCTGTCTGTCTGTCTGTCTGTCTGTCTGTCTGTCTCTTATTCTGTCGGTCTCTCTGTCTGTCTGTCTCTAATTCTGTCTCTTATTCTGTCTGTCTGTCTCTTATTCTGTCTCTTATTCTGTCCGTCCGTCTGTCTGTCTCTTATTCTGTCTGTCTGTCTGTCTCTTATTCTGTCTGTCTCTTATTCTGTCTGTCTCTTATTCTGTCTGTCTGTCTCTTATTCTGTCTGTCTGTCTGTTTGTCTCTTATTCTGTCTGTCTGTCTTTTCTGTCTCTTGTTCTCTCGTTCTTTTTATCTGTTTTTTTGTCTATTCTATCTGTTGTTCTTTCTAACTTTCATTCTATCTGTCTGTTCTCTCGTTTTCTGTCTGTCTATCATTCTATCTGTTCTTTCTAACTCTTATTTGATCTATCTATCATCTGTGATATGTCTGTCTGTCTGTCTATCTGTCATCTGTCATCTATTTTTCTGTCTATATTTAATCGTTCTTTCACTCTATCATTCTGTCTAATCCTATGAAACACGAAACTTTGAGCTAAATTAATTTTTAAAGGGGTCATCGGATGCAAAATTCACTTTAGTTGTTGTTTGAACATAAATGTGTGTTGGAAGTGTGTGGACACATCCACCCTATAATGATAAAAATCCACCGTGTTTTTTTTTTATCCCATTTTAAAATCCCCTTCTCAAATCAGGCTGTTTTGAGATTCCTGTCAGAATTACGTAGTTCTGCACAGGCCCCTCCCACGATAGTTGATTGACAAGGCCGTCTTACTTTGCCTCAGACCAGCCCTGAGTGAGTTGAGAGCTGTCCGCCATTGTGTCGACTCCGGTGCAGGGTAAGACAAGAATGTCTCAGATTAAGCGATTGAGGTGTTTTGTTGCTGGATGTAATAATGAACATAGCAGTCCTCATTTACTCCCTACATCTGAGCCGCTGAAGACGCAGAGGATTAACGTTACTTTCGTTTTTTGAAGGGAATGCGCCGATCCCGATCGACCTAAATGCATCTATGTTCGTGCGAATCATTCATGATCCAGCTTCATCTACAGAAGAAGTGAGTATAAGGGTTTTTTATGAATCTTTGCAAATCGCCTTTCCTAATATGTGCTAGTTTGCAAGTTTTCCGGCTGAAGTTTACACAGTCTGCTCGTCATCCCAGCAATAAACTCCAGGGACCCTAAAGAATCATATCAACTTGTGGAAAATGGGCATCCGATGACCCCTTTAAGTATAATATTTTCATTTTTCTCACTCCGGTCCACTCACAGTGTCATTACCAAATACAGTTTAGTAGGAGTCTCAAAGGTTTCCTCCAAAGACACTATATTTTCATGATTTATTCTGTGAAGAAATCACAGGGACAAATAAAAACAAAGATAAACGTTGTATCATCAAATCAGAAAAGATTTCTTTAACTGTACTCTAATAAACAAGAAATGTAAACATAAAGTCAAGAAATTTAATCAGTCAGTCAATCCAGAGTTTTTTTTTTTTTTATTAAATCACTGACCTGCGTAATACTGCAATCTCATTCTCCAGCATGGATTCTTTTCCTTTTAGCGCTCTCTTGCGGATGCACTTGACAGCCACTACCTTCTGAGTGCATCTGTGCTGAGCCATTCGAACCTCAGAGAACGAGCCCCTGAGACATTATACATTTACATTATTTATAATTCAGCTGTAATGAGTTTTGTTCTCAATTAATGGTTGTTTTCAGATGCCTTGAGATCGCCAGAAGCCTCTGTCTCTGTTTACATTATTGAGGCTGTTTTCGGTAACACTCCCACAGATCCTGAGCTCTCGCAGCTCTCCTTGTATGGGCACAGGGGTTTTCAACTCAAGTATTAGCATTCCACCCGTCTACTCGCCTAATCTTGTGAACACTGAGCACACACACACGCATAAACCTTACATGATGCTGACTGTCTCACCTGCTGTGCATTGTGGCCTTTATACCTGCTGTCTAACAAGGTATTAAAGGTAAACGGGTAGGATTGTGACTTGACATTAGTCATACATACTGACATCATGTAAGGCTTTTACAAAACAGCAAATTGTGTGCAAACAATATTCTATGCATTATTAGACGATTTTGATCAAATCTGTTGCAAATGGATGCCATGAAAAACTTAACCTTTTAGGTTTTTTAAGCTACAAACCATTGTAAAATGCTGCTTTTGTTGATTAACATTGCAGGAAAGTAATTTGTATTTATTTTCCTCTACTACCACGTGTTGTAATAAAGAATGACCACTAGAGGGAAGCCTTGATTAACTTAAATTATCTACTAGAGAAATAATTTTTTCTCTATAGTGTTTTATATTGTTATAATATATATATATATATATATATATATACACACACACACACACACACACAGTATATACTGTATACATATATATAGATAGATATATAATGCATTTGCATATACATTTTCTGTGAAGTGAAGTTTTCTGTGAAGTGTTTTGTAAGTTTTGTAAACATTATTATGTAAACGTTATTTTGTGCAATAATGTGTTATGTATTTATTACAAACATTTGATAAAATATACAAAAAATACATAAATGCATAACATTTTTATAGTAATATACATATATACTGTAGATAGATATAGAACAAGCATTTTATAAACGTTGTTTAATATTTTATACTGATTTATATGCTAATACATACTATTTATATATGCATTTAATATATAAATTACATGTGTGATATTAATTATAAAAAATAAGATTTATAATTTTTTTTTTTTACATATTGCATTTGCATATATATGTTTTCGGTAACGTGTTTTGTAAACATTTATTAGTATTTTAATTTTAGTTTTATTTATTTTTAGAGAGTGAAGATGAGGGGAGTAAAACATGAACAGGGTAGGAACATGACGGCCCAGACTCAAAACCACATCTGTCACATGAATATCACTCATATCGAACCATACACATCCTTTACAACTCCAAGGTATATGTATATATATTTAAAATAAACAAATTGTTTATTCATTCTACAGACAAAATGCCAGGGTTCATGATCAGTTCATTTTTCTATATTTTTAATCACACAGAAATAAATTATGACTGCCACCATCCATTCCAGTGCTACTGCTACCATAAAACATTTTTCTGTAATCCTCTAATAATGTTAGTCCAGGTTTCTTGCACCAAATCATCATTTATTTTTCTACTCCCCTCCTGATCATTAAAATTAAACGGGCTGTTTTGCTGCTGTTCCTTTAAGATTTCTACATGAAATTGATCTGTTTTGATTGGCGTACTGCTGCGTAGCGTCATAGTACACAGTGTTGTTCTCCAGGGTTTCCTATTATATGTCCCGCTTTAATGTCGCACGCTTAAATCTTTAGCTGGTGATGCTTGTTGTGTCATCATTCTTGTAGATCTCACCGTGTTGAAGCGACTTAACCTTATAACTGAACGTTATGTTCAGAGTCCACAGGAAGCAGCAACTCTGACATATGAAATGCTTTTTTTAGTCTTGCGAGATACTGAATATAGATGTTCGTGATTCCCACCAGTCATTGTACAAATGTTTTTGAGCATTTACACAGTGATGCTATAACTGGCAGCTATGTATGAGTGTAATAAAATGTGTTCTCAAGAACCTATTTAATTTTCTCAGATTTAGCAACAAAAAAACATCGGCAGATTTACCTAAATAAATAACATAAAATAACTTTAATTACATTTTTTTTTTTTAATAATTGCATAATTTTTTTTCAGTTTCACACTGACTTTATCAATAAGAGCATATCTCTTCTGCTCACCAAGGCTGCGTTTATTTGATCAAAAATACAATAAAAACTGTAATATTGTGAAATGTTATTACAATGTAAAATAACCGTTTTCTATTTGTACGTTTTTTTAAATATAATTTATTTCTGTGATGCAAAGCTGAATTTTCAGCATCATTACTCCAGTGTAACATGATCCTTCAGAAATCATTCTGATATTTATGTTATTAATGTGAAAATGAAGAGAAAATAATTTATATAATAATAGCTTAATATTTTGTGAAAATAGAATGTTCTGGATCGAAAGAGTTCACCCTCAGGTCTGTATTATATTTTGGTCTCCAGATTTGGCTTTGGTCCATCTTTTAATGTACATATTCCAGATTTTTTATTTTTCAGCGTTTTAAGTGAGTTTTATTAATATTAGTCTAATAAATTATTTCTCATAAGATTTCATATTCTTTGAACTCTTCTGCTTTTTTAGAACTGGAAAAAAAAAATAAGGGCATTGGCAATAAAGAATAACTCCTCTGTTACAGGATCTCATGATATCCAAATCCTTTCTGCATTATCCATTTCTCATTATGTGCAAACACACACATATACAGTCTAGACAATTATCAATCACAATTTAATAATCCTATATGACCAAACAGAGCTCTAATATTGCTACAATGCAGCATGTCAATAGATATGTTAGACAGCAGTTTGGCTATTTTTAGAATCTGTTTGACGGACCAATGGCAGACGGGGAAGTGTTCAGGAAACCTGTTTGAAAGGTAATTTTTTGCTTTTCTAGTTGGACAGGAAATCAATACACCTCAGATAAAATTTAAGAGAATCCAGTTAGTATGTAGTGTTGTTTGTCGCTGATCATTGATACAGAAAACGCTTAGTGCCACAAGTGAAACTAATATGAGTCCAGTTCAAGGCAGGAGATACTATTTACAGGAAATGTGATTACAGAAATGTCTGGAAAGGTCAGATCGAAACTTATAAGATAAGTGGAAAGTTGTTCCTGTGAAAGTCTGCTAGTAAACAGCATCTTACGCTGTAGGATAAATGACCCTCTGTGTGCTGTTCAAGGCGTGACAGTGCGGTTGTGAATGGTCGTATTGATTTTTGTGCCATTTCTTATCTGTGGCATACTAACCTTGTGACCTAAATAGGAGCAAGTTGTACCCCCACCTGTTTACTTTTATAAAGTAACACAGTGAGCTGCAGCCAATAAAGTGTGCCCTGAACCGCAGCTGCAAAATGATAAGAGCCCTTTATGCAATTGAGTCTATATTACATGTGTTTTGATAACCTTATTAACTTATTTTGACCTGCATTGTCTTTTTGATGCCTGAATATGTGAATTGTCAGCAAAGATTTCTACACTGGCACTATTTTTGTTTGTCTGGCAGGTCTGGCATGTGATTTCCCAGTCATGTCCTGAGAGTTATAGTCACACGGAGAAGTCCTCCAATATGGTCATCAGTCCATATACACTACAATTCAAGAGTCTGAGGTCTGTAAGATTTTTAATGCTTTTGAAAGAAGTGTCTTATGCTCACCAAGGATGCATTTTTTTTTTTAATAAAAATACAGTAAAAACTGTAATATTGTGAAATATTATTACAATTTAAATGAAGTTTTCTATTTGAATATATTTTAAAATATCATTTATTTCTGTGATGCAAAGCTGAATTTTCAGCATCATTACTCCAGTCTTCAGTGTCACATGATCCTTCAGAAATCACTCTAATATGCTGATTTTCAGGATTTAGATGAATAGAAAGTTTAGAAGTTCAAAAGAACAGCATTTTTAAAAAACAGGAATCTTTTGTAAGAGTATTAATGTATTTACTGTCACTTTTAATCATATTGTGGCCTTGCTAAATAAAAGTATTAATTTCTTTCAAAAAAAAAGAAACCTTACTGACCCCAGACTTTTGAATGGTAGAGTATAAGGTAAAACATCTGTCACAGTTGAATTGTTTGATCATTATTCCAGCAATATCATCATACCCTACACTGTTTAATCAGCAAGTGTGTCAAAGTCTGAGCTGGGGGTGATAGTTATGCTCGGGTTGTGACTCCACGCAGCTGCTATTTCTAAGGCGCTATAAAAAAGGGCCATAACCTTTGCAAGGCAGCTGCTCTTGAAGTCACGGGGTCTATTCTAAACTAAACTTAGATCGATAGAAACGTGAAAGTGCAATCGTAGTAGTGTTCGCCCGTGCCTGGAGGCCCTGAACCAGGTTAGCTTACACCATTTGGCTTTAAGACTTCTACGCAATCTTTTTTTTTTTCTGAAGATTGTTCCAATGTGCAGGCCATATGTTTTGCCACGCAGGACATTTTCTCAATTAGAACTGAGTGCTTTTGCATGAACGTTAAGCCCAGTTCTGTCTGATCTCTATTGCAGCGTCAAACGTTGAATTTGCTTGAAAAGGCGGCCTGGTGAACAAAACATTTATTTGTATATTATTGGTATAAATGCAGTCGCTCCTAAATTGTGGAGGTGAACCACTAAAAATGACATCATTTGCATCTACACTGTAAAAAAAATATTTTTTCGAAGTTGCGAATAAAACTGATTATTGGAATCTATTTTACAAGAAAATACCATTTTAGTTTTTCTACTTCGAACTTTCATGTTTAATTCAATGTTTTACTTGTTTCTTTGTAATTGTGAAATTTACTAGCAATTTCTGAGTACAAATTGTTTCTACACCAATTTCAATGCACTGCATGAGCAAGCGTGGAACTTTTTAATTTTAATATAAAAATGTAAAAAATTTTTGTAACAATATACACTACTGTTCAAAGGTTTTGGGGGCAGTAATTTTTTTTTTTTTTTTTTTTTTTGATGGAAAATAATACTTTTATTCAGCAAGGATGTGTTAAATTGATAAACAGTGATAGTAAAGACTTACATTGTTAGACAAGAGTTCTATTTTGAATAAATGCTGTTCTTTTTAATTTTGTATTCATCAAAGAATCCTGAAAAAAATTATCACAGGTTCCAAAAAATATTAAGCAGCACAACTGTTTCCAACATTGATAATAAATCAGCATATTAGAATGATTTGATGAAAATTCAGCTTTGTATCACAGAAATAAATTATGTTTTAAAGTATATTATAAGTATATTCAAATTGAAAAACTGTGCAAAAATTGTACCTTTAGGGTACAATAGCTTGTT